TTCGAATTCTGCAGGAATGCAATCGATGGAATTTACGCAACAGTGAGAATCGAACAGATCTTCGATCGGATTACACGGTCTGAGCTTTTAACGCTTGAGACTTACACGAAGTGCGTATTGATTCGTTGTGCAATCGAGATAGTACGTTTCTCAAAGTTGCGTTAGGACAAACCGAGATTACAAGAACATTCCTTCATTAATAATTATTAAAAAAACGTTCTTGTAATCTCGGTATTAAAATGAAAATCGAATCAGATCGTGAATCGGATTCAATCTTTAGATACTAGCCGACGGATGCCTCCGAATAAAACAGAACACGATTATTCAGTTTTCAATATTCGCAAAAATTCTTCCCAATCACTGAAAATCATTAAAACATTAAAACGTGTTTTTCATTTTGATCGAAGATCACCCGTCGTGATTCTATAATTAATAAATGACATATTCACATAAACAACGTAATCACTAGAATTATGGATCGACTCGAGGTTCATCTCCTCCGATGAATTTCTTGTTCTCTGTGTGTATGCCATGTGCTACGATATCTACGAATGATCACGATATCTAATATGTGAAAAACCGTGCGTACCGTCGGTTTTATTTCGTCGCTTTCGAGTCTAGCCGGAATTAGATTGTTCGTTTATTCATTTTCTCTGATATCAGTATCTCAGCTTTAAGCACAAACAGAATAGATATTTATACAATATTAGTGACAGCGGTCGCATGCAATAATAGTCGCAGATATGTACAAATATTTTATGTATTAAAATTCACGTCGAGTTAAAGATTTATTGAACAGGAAAGCGAGGTGCGGAATTAGGGTAATCAGGGTGTCCCTATTTTTTCTTTGTAAGCCGTGCGTGTTCTATCTGTTTCGTAGCAAAAATTGGTCCAAATTGTTGTTGGACATTCGGAGATTCTAGTTAAAAGCAAAACCGAGCACACGTTATTTATATAAGATTTGCTGATAAGCCGCAGTGTGAACGAAAGCATGATTCTTTCCTTCTCGAAGAGAAAATCGAGTGATAAAAAAAATTAATGATAAGAATAAGAAATATAACACGACGCCCACGTAATGTGTAGGAAAGCATACTAACCTGGTGGGGGGTAAAAAACCGCCTCAAAAATCGCATTGTCCTCCCCGTAACGAGAGGGAAAAAAGTTTTTTTTTTTTTTTCTATACGTTGTTCGCTTCAATGCTCAGAATTAAAACGTTAATTATTATTAGAAGCTCGTGGCCGTCATCGAGACTGAACGAAACGCATCGATTATCAAAATTATTCTTCTATTTACACAGTCCTATGATTTAATAGAATTCGATACACGAGTAAAGATCGTTCGGTTAATCGATAATAAGGCACTATCGAAGGAAAGAATTGTGAAAGTTGTATAATTATTGGTAAGCTAGTAAGGGGGCCTGGGTAAAAATAAGATACATGCCATCTCCTGAAAAAGGTAGAAACTTTTGGTTCTAGCTTGTTAGTGAGAAAAGTAATACTTGGAATACACGTGCGTGACAAAGCGTGTATTAATTAGAGTAATCGTGTTGTTCCTCTGTGTCCATCGTCCATATCTCCGTTTTCGATACGTCGATTTCAAGGCGACGAGAATTTAACAGAGTCTGCATTTAATATCGTGTAGGAGATAAACGACGATGTTGGATTAGATAAATTAGAACGCGCAAAGCGTCGAGAGAAAATTTCCAGCTTTTTCAAGTTTGGCGGTCTTGTCACTTTGGTCCAGTTCTTCTCTTTTTATCATTTCAATTCATTTTGTTCTTTGGTCTTTTTTTTTGTACTTTCGTCCTCTCTTGCGATATCACCTGTTTTCGATTAGTTTTTTTTTTCTAAACACAGTTTCTCAGATCCGAGGTCGCCTTTTACGTGAAATCAACACCACACCTCCACCTCAGCTGCTGCAAATGAATTTTTCCTAAATGGTTCTTCTGATCAGAATAAAAATAAAACGTCTCTGACGGTGGAAAAATTGACAAAAATACACGCTTCCGGCGAAACGTGACGAAAACGATGTTCTGTCAGAGAAAAGATAAAAATTGAAAAATCACTCGTTCGTTCTCACTCGATTTTTATTGCTTTTAGTATTCGATATACAGTGTACAGCAGCTCTCTCGTGCTTGTCAGAAGAAAAATTCGTAGATCCGGTTCGCGGCCGCCGTTTTCGGACGGCGTCGATCGGGTTGCCTTTTCCAGGTGCTTGTAGATAACCGTGGAAAGTCGATATTCTCTCGGCAAACGGTGAACAGAGAATCAAGTAGGTGGAAGCTCGTTGTTGCCTGTGTGGCAACGTGGTTGCTCTCGTTTTTTATATTGTCAATCGGGTGAATGGATTAATGTCAAGTGTTACGTGTTGCAGTCAATGATTTTTTTTGTATTGAGTCGTTTAGTGACATGTAAGGTTCAAGGGTTAGCGCCTCGAGCCTTTAAAAGACTGCGGATATTTATGCAAAATAAAAATCATAATATTCATTTAATTTTTAATTCCCTGGAAATTGAATCGATTTTTTGTATTCCCTGTAAAAAAATGCATAAAATCCGCAATCGAATGATTATTTCATCGTGTCTGAAAAGCATCGACAGTTAAAGTATAAGAATAGAGTTTTCGGTATGCAAATTTATATATATAAGATGCTAATGGCTGAAGCTATTAATCGCGTATTAGGGATTCGTTAACACCAGAACTATCAAAACGATCAAAATGATTAAATATCGAATTTGTTTTTTAACTTTGATAAATTTGATAAATTAGTCAACTGCTCGCGGTGCGCACAACTGTTCACGTGTTATTATGTTAAACGTCTGATTGGTTCAATCAAATATAAAATATTATTTAGAATTAATGTGTAACAAGATTTGTTGCATGAAATCCAGTGAAATACCTAAGGCCTAGATCTCTGCTATGTATAAATGTGATAAACGGGCATACTTTGATCGGCGATAGTTCTAGCGTCTTTTAAAATAACGTTTAGTCTCATCGGTAAGAATGTCAGGGATGTCGGCAGCCTTTCTTCGTATGCAATGACGAAGTCGGACGTGGGTAGTAAGCGTGTTTCGCTGTTTAGTTTCACTAGTTTGCCAGTGTCGTATGATCTGTTGTCGCCTAAGGTCGCTCAAGTCGACGATGCGATCGAGAAAAAGCCACTTGAGGGTATTAATGCCTGGAAAGATTTAAGATTAGAAGTCAGTGCCTGTCTGATGGCTCTCGCGATTAGTCGGAAATTATCTCTTTTTCTCATCTCTCGATAATTATCTGGTCAACGACGGCGGACAAGATGATTTTTGATGATCGGCGGTTCGTTCTCTCGGTGGACGACACGGGAAGAACAAAACGTATGAACTAGTAATTGTGAGATGATCCACGATGATCGATGATGAACGATGCTGTCCGTTGATGCCTGGTGACTAAGTTTCTGTCTGTCGTCGGTCCGGTCGTAGATTCCATCCGTAGACACTTCCAATCTCGACGACACATCCACCGATGTTTAACGATT